GGGGGGGGGAGGGGGGGGAGGGAAGGGACAGGCGGGGTGGAGGCCCGGAAGCTAAAGCAACTGCTGGAAGGAAAGCCCGATTCACTCTGGTCCTCTGGGCAGGTTTCCCACCCAGTTGAGCCTCCTTCCACATGGGAAGCAATCTACATGGAGAACACTGCTCGGCCAACTCAAGACCCCTGCAGCGCCCTCTGTGATGAGGGGCAGAGTCGCCCCAGTCCGCATAATGGCTGCAGCTAAGGGCACAGTGGCAGGCTCACCTTCTGAAAAACTTTACATATACGCTTTCAGGAAAAAGGCCAAAGAGAGGACAGGCAGAGTCTTTCTGCACATCTTGGAAACAGGGGTGGGGGTGGGGGTGGGGGCGCGCACACGCAGCCACAGCAGGTAAAGAAATCCATCCCCGCTCCCAGGGCATGAGCTGCGCTACACCGGAGACCCCCGTCATCCTGGGCTGGTGGTGCCTTTTTGAACCGGGCATCTAAGTGAGCACGGTGGCCCTGGGGTTCGGCGGCAGCGCCCCAAGAAAGAGACTCCAGGCCATAACTCACACTGCTCCTTGCGAGAACACCACTCCCGAGCCATTTCCACAGGGATGCTCAGTACATGGCCCGCCTCACTCCCTATCTGGCCAGCTTTCAAGTGAGTGCTATTCATTCCGTATTTAAGAGCCCGGATAACAACTGCAAGGGACTCTCCTTACTTGCTCAGTCAAGGAGAAGCCCCGAGAATCAAGTTGGAGTCTTGGAGACTTTTCCAAGTAACAATTCTTTCTCCCATGAAATGTTCTGTCACTTAAAATAAAGGCAGATGATTATTCAGCTAAATTCCTGCTAATCAGTGTCATAATAAATCACACTTAACTAATAAAGTTTCTAGAAAACACCCTAGTTGGCCAAAGTCCTGTTGCTTTTCTGGTTCTATGTGACATTTAAAGACAACCTCACAGCGAGATAAGCCGTCAGGGTAACAAACCACGTGCCAGGACCTCAAGGGTTTGGGACAGAGGCACTTCTTTGGAAGCACACCGTAGCTTATCTCCCTCCCCAGCTGATCTGGCTGCTGCTCGCCCTGACCTCACCCTGCAGGTCCCAGCAAACCACAGTCGGGCAGGACAAATCAGCCAACAGTGAGGAATGGTGTATACATTTTCAAATCGTTTTCAAAAGTAACAGGAAAAAATAAAAGATGACTCTCTTGAGATGTGCTAATTTTAAGAAATTCAAGTTTCAGGGTCCAAGAAAAGTTCCACTGGCACACAGCCATGGCTGTTTGTTCACACGCTGTGTATTGCGGCTTTCGTGCTACAACGGCAAAGCTGAAGCGTGGGACAGAAGCCGCAGGGCCTGAAGTATCAACTGTCTGGTCCCTTATAAGAGGCATGCTGACCCCTGCCCTGGCACATGCCAAGTTCACACCTCTGCTTTGTATGGCCAGCTAGTTCTTGTCTTTAGGTCCTGGCTCAAATGTCACTTTCTGAGTGGCCTTTCCTGAAGACTCTATCTAGAGAAACCTGGCCCAACTTCATCATACAGGTCTCCGTCACAGCTCTACCTTGAAGTTGTGTCGTTCATTTACTTATGAGCTGTCCTTTCAGAAGAATGTAGCTTCCTAAGGGTAAATAACCTTGCCTGTCGTTTCCACTGCTATCTTCCCAGTGCCTAGAAGAGTAAGTACCTGAACTGCATGTACACTGACCATACGAGTCACATAAACTGAGGAAAGAGGTACTCAGACCCCAGTCACGCATCACCGGGGATCTAAGGTAAAGAGAGTGCCCTGTCTTTAAGCATCATGATATGGTTTGTGAGATGCAAAACGAGAAACCAAAAAAACTTGTTACATTTCTCAAAGGCTTAAGAGGTTTTATATATAACAACTAAGTCGAGCTGAGTTAAGAACAGGATATGTTTTACACTAAAAGGAAGGGGACCACCTCATGGCTTCCGGACATGAAGTGACAGGTGCCCGGCGCCCGCTCTGATCCTCTGCCCTGGTCTGTCCATGCCCATCACAGGATCCTGGTATTTCAGTGGTATTCTGCACCGATTAAAACACAGCCTAATGCCTATAAATAGGAAGGTCTTTTAAACACTAATTAAAAATAACAGTCTGGCATTTGGAAACTCCTATAAACAAAAATATAAGAGCTGAAATAAACAGGAACAGTTGCACATCTGATCTGATCTACACTCAGGTGGTAAAAAGTTACATGTGTCTTCTCTGGAGTTTTTCATTTACTCTTGAATTTATGGGACTTTAAAATGCCTAACAACATCCATTTTACCTTTTAGTTAATAAGGAATTGGCTGTTCTCAATTGACTCCATTTTAATGGTTATAAAATTCACTATAATATTATTTAACATAGTACATCCCGAATATCATGTCAACATTGTAATCGATAGAGAGAAATTAAAACATTTTGCTCTTTTCATCTGAAGTCTTCAATATCTATTGCACATTTTGTAGCACATCTCAGCTCAAAACAGCTACATTTCAGGTGTTCAGTACTACATGTGACTCATGGCTGCTGTATTGGACCGTACAATTTAAAAATGTTCAGAATTATTTTCAACTGAATACAAACCAACCCTACTTGGATTTTCTGCATTTTACGAGTTTTATATAAAAGAGATTTTCTCTTTGAGCCTTTGTTTTTTACTTAAGAGGACTGAATACATTAAGCATTTATTATTTTATATTAAAAAATCCTGGAATTCATCTTTGGATTCACATTGCATTCTTCAAAATAAGGTAAAAGATATTAAGGACCCACATGATATTGCTTTTCCACAAGCATCCGATTTTACTTATCAAACCATGGCTGCTAGATTTAGTTTTCATTTCCTTTACACATGGCTCTTTTCCTGTCCTAACTGAATGCAACCAAGAAGCTCTGACACATCTGAGCCAAGTTTCCTTAATGTGCAACAGGACGGCGCCACCATCAGCGTGCACAATGACCCACCCAACTTTATGATTCAAAACCACTCAGCCCTGCCGGCTCATTCTCTTAGGAGACTTATGTCTGCCTTTATGATTTAAGATGTAAGAGGGGAAAACTTAGGACCTCAAAATACTCTGGTTAGAAGCACAAGCACAAGCACAGGCCCCTGCTGGAACAAGCACACCCAGGGAAGCCGACTGCGCTTTGCTTCAAGCACTTGCTCTTCACTCACATAGTAAACATGTGGGTTTTGCTAACAGCAATGGTAGTTTCTATGGCTCGGGACTGTGCTGGGATCATCATTCTCCACCAACAGTGGGCACCTGCCATCTAGCTCCGAGGCCGCTCCTGGTTACCTCTGCATCTTGATCGTGGAGGCGGTAGGTCCTCTGGAGGCTTTGCAGAGTCCGGGGGTTCAGGGTCTTCTGCTCCAAGAGATGCTCCAGAAGCAAGACCAGCTGGTCTGGAAGAAGCTGAAGGCAAAACCAAACAGCCTGTGAAAATGCCATTCGGCTGACAAGAAACCAAACCCAGCGTCTAGACCCCAGACACAAACCCAGGGTCAGCTGGGTACTTTCAGGATAAGTCTGAAACATGGGAAGGCGGCTGACTTTTGTAAAACCTCAGGGTTTACACTGTCCGCATCCCCAAAGACACTGCATTCTGGGGGCTGATTTAGACCCTCTTTTCCATGACTTCTCATTTCAGTTCCAAGAGCAGATCAAAACTGTGCCTACTTCATAAAACATTACTGTGGTTTATTAGGTCCTTTCCTTTTAGGGCATGCATATGCCAAAAAATGTAATGTAGCCTAGAAAAAGACTCAAGAAGCCACCCCATTTTAGGCAAATACATGGAAATTTAGCAGAAATAAGAAGCAACTTCAGATTCCCTTCTTTAACATGTAAACCCTGGGAAGACACTACTTGCAGCACACTGAGAAGGAACGCATCATGACACAAGCACCATGTCTTCCCTTCATTTAACAAAGACATTTAACTAATAATCCACTAAAAGGTTTAAAAGGCTGTTCACACGATTATACATACAGCTATACACACAGACACACAAACACACAAAACACAAGGTCACCCACACTCCTGAGTTTTCACATAGGGAAGGTCAAAAGTGGTGTTAAAAGTTAAGAGCAAAGAAAGGAGGTAGTCTTTATGTGGGTGAAAAACAAAACAACAACATATGTGAAATACAAGAACCGAAGCGTGTGTGAGATACCATCCGTCTCACTCACTAGGGGTGAGACCAGTGGTGCCACCCTGCACGGGCAAAGAACCAATTTAAGACACACCTTGTACAAGCTGAAAAATATTTATTCTAAAATCAAGATTTTAAGATTATTACCATGAATTCCAGGACTCTACACTTCGCTTCTCTCCATCCCTGCTTATGCCCAGATAATCTCTGTGGATGAATGCAAATTTACAGGTCTGGAGGCTGATATCAGACCCACAGAATATTCATAAGAACACCTGGATTTTAATTGCCACTTTCTGTTACTCTAAAGGAAATTTTAAAAATTACTGGCTTCTCTCCTCCCTTCATCTTTCTGCCCCCAAGTGTGCACTCTGTCTGACCCACCCCCCCACACTCATCCAACATGCACACGCAGAGAAACAGGTAAAAACAAGCACAACATCCACAATGTATTGCACAGAACAAAGCATTTCTTGTATTTTTCTCATCTCACCCTTCTAAGTTCTAATAGACCCCCACTTTCCAATAGACAAACAGGGACAGACAGGCACAGGCGCACATCCTTTGGCTCTCGGGTATATTTATCTCCTAACATCACTCTACTTGAAAGTCATGCTGTGGACATTTTCTCCCGAGAAACAAAGTGCCTTCAGCAAAATTACATGACAATGAGTGTTGACCTGTGAGCTTCTATACAAAGAATTACGAACATAGTTTCTTTTCATGAGAAGTCACCTGCTTGTAAGATGTTTTAAAGATACTAAGTTACTAGTAACTACTGGTAGCAAAACCACGCATCTACCATATCCTACAGTCTTAGACACATGAAGTGGCTTTCACATTAAAAAGAAATCTGCTGTTTTACAAAAGAAGCCAAACCCAAGACCCAAGACCCCAGGCTCTGGTGCACTTCCTCGCCTGTGCACACCTGCGATCCCTCAGGTGTGGGACGCGTGGGGGATCCACCTGATGGGAAGAACCCAGCCGAGACATCATTCTCTGCCTTTCTTCTGGCTCCTGGCTCCTCCCACCGGGCTCCCAGGCCTGACTAGCTCTCTCCTTCTCCTCTCCTCCCCATCTGGCCCTGCAACCTCCTTCTGTGCTCCTTCTCTCCGGGGGGCTGAGCCCGCAGGCCATGCTTGCCTCAATGCTTCTCCCAAGGCCACCGACAAGCACACTCCAGCACCCGAACCCTCTTCCCTGTGCCTCCCCTCTCCCCCATCGTGGGCTCTCCCCGCTCTACTACTTCCCTCTGTTCTGCAGCTGCCTGAGTGTACTCTGCTGGGTCCCCACGGTGGCTTGGCCCCTCATCAGGGCAACCTAGCTGTCTGTGGGGCTTGGGGAGGGGAGGGTGCCTCACTCCAGGAAGGTATGGGTGAGAGAAGGCCCAGACTGGGTCTTAGTGGCCCAACCCTGCACCCCACCCCCACCCCGGGGCACCCTCCAATCCGGTGGGCAGCATTTCTAAAGACGGCCATCTGAGGGCAACAAGAGGTCCAGGCCGCGGCCCCTCCAGACATAGGAAGGCAGGCTTCTTTCTGGGAGGGGGCCCGACTCAACAGGTAAGCCACCCTTCGGCACTAACAATGCCCAATACAGCGTGGAACACGCAGAGCCCAGAATGGACCTGTCTGCTAACTTGATATGGAGAGAACCAGCCCTGCCAGAGGAACAGCCCTGCCAATTTGCAGAATTACAGGGAAGGAAGGAGTAGAAAGAAAAGCATCTACCCATTATGTACTTGTGCTCACAAAGAGGCCTGTTGTTAGAACGCTCATTTGGGACTTGGTTTAAACTAGAGAGACCCACAGAGGACAGAAACTCCCAAGCAAGACAACGAACTTGGTCTTCAACCTAAACCAGCTAAACATAGCTCCAGTTTAAAAATTGAAGAATTACCAATACACACACCTATCAAAATACCTAGATTCATACATATACGTCTGTTTTCTTCTCAGTAGGAAGTTCACCCATCTGCCCACAGAAACTGAACTAAAAGGGTCACTGGGAGCTTTTGTCCTCTCCAAATTCTACACAAGAGAAATATGTAAAGCCAAGCCCCTAGACTTCAGACGCTGAGATGGGAGGGAGCCTTCAGCCCATGTCCAGAAGCACACATGCTGCCAAACCTTTAGGGCTCTTTAAAGTTTACTCGACTCTAGCTGGAGAAGAGCACGGGTGGACACCCCCGAGGCGTCCGCTTCTCCTTCAATAAGGCAGCGGATCAGTGACCGCAGGCAGAACACAGAGCAGCCGACACAGCCCCACCGAGCACATTCCTCCCCAGCCCCAGCGCCAGGCGAGTCCTGTCGTCAGGCCCATTCCTCAGGACAGACATGCAGAAATGACTCTCAGGAAACAACCTGCAGCCACCTGGCTTCCAACTGTCATGCTTCTAACTCATGGGGGGAAATGCAGTTTCTAAACAATGAAAAATGTAGAGAAAAATCAGTGAACAAATGCTGTTTGAGGACACAGACTGATAAAATTAACAAAGCGTCTTTCACAAACAAGCAAGCATGACATCGTTAAAAAAAACAGGTAACAGACTTTAAAAGAGGATATAAAAATAAAAATGTGGTAACTACCTGAAAATAGTATGTTCTCTTTGTAAAATAAACATTTGCTCCCTGTAAAGTCACCCTACAATGAAAAATAAATAACATGTAACAAGCCAACATGTCTGCAGAGCAAGTGAAAGCCATTGTGCACTCGCCGTGTGCGCAGGAGTGCAGGGCCGTGCGGCCCTCCTGGCAGCTGGCACAGGGCAATGGGGAACGCTGTGTGGATCGTGCCACTCCCACCCACATAGAAATCAAGTTAAACTTCACACGACTTCTAGGCCAACTGTGTTTCAATACAGCAGCACTGCGCGAGACAGAGACGGCTTTCGTTGTACCAAGGAGTGATCAAGGAAAGTAAAGCACATGGTTCTGAGCACTGCCTCCTGAGAAAGTGGCTCCTTTGAACAGTATAAAAAGAATGTGCCTTTATTTCTGGGGTCTAACAGTGTTCACACCCACAGTCAGTGACAGGAATAGAGATCCTTTCCTTTGCATTAACAAGAAGTTTATGGCGGGGTGATCATTTTTTTACATGGGGACCAGCTTGGTATTTTTAAAACGCATCTGCCAAGGAAACTTAAACAAAAGACGACTATGGGGGTGCCAAAATCATGTGGGTACATGAGGAAGAGCTTCACACAACTGTGAAGCGTACTTAAATGAGCACAAGAAGCAAAATGCCAACAGAGGTCGGCCAAGTACAATTGCTACCTGTTAAGAATTTGAGAGATCTCTATTCTTACTGTCAACACAAAAGATTTCAAAGTTGCTAAATACTGAGAGATGGACAAAGAAAAAAGTCTATTGTGCACTTTCCCCAGTCAACTTAAGAGCTGAGGCAAGCTGCACAACTTCGAATGGTTCTATACAGGCTCTTGGAAAGAAAATATGAGTTTTCCAAACCCACCCTCCTAACCGACAAGCAGCACAAAGAAAGTAAACCCTGACTCTTTCAGAAGCCTCTTAGGGCTGTTGGTGGCATCGCTCACTCTGAGCTCCCAGAAGACCACCCACACAACTGAGGCCCCTACACCATTTCTTCCATTAATACGATGCAGAAAAGGCCAACTCACCTCCTAGATCAGAACACGCTACGGACACGTCTCCCGATGGACCTTGCAGAGGCAGGACCCGTGACAAGGGAGTGGCATGTACAAATATCCAAGCGCGCTGCCTGCACCTCCAAAAGCAAAGGAGAGTACGTCCCAGTCCGGTCCAGCGGCCGCTGCCCCCACACGCAAAGGAAGTCACCACGCGGCTCCCCAGGCAGGGGTTAAGCCCGGGCCTAATGCAGTCACCGACTGACAGTGGCATGAGTTCTATTATTACCCCATTACCACTCTGGGGCCTAAGCCTAAATGAGGCATGCTTCCTCCCTGATGCCATTTCCTTTTATCCTGGCTGGAGACTAAAAGCAGATCAATGGGGGCAATACATATGATGTCACTTCAATTTACAGCCACTGCTGCCCCCTCTTTCAGTCTGTCTGAAACACACAGAAAGATCAATTCTTCCCAAAAATGGTTAAAAAATGCGCAGGGAGCATTCTTCTTCCAGAAAAGCATTCTCTGCTATATTTGTCTATGTTACTACGGCAGGCTGTTTACACGGAACAAAAACAAGAAACGGGGGAGGGAGAAAAATCTCAAATTCTCCTGTATGCTGGAGTCTTGCTGGCAGAAATTCAACACAAACAG